AATATAAACTGGCATGCCAACAGGAATGGGGAACAATCCATTGGGTTCTAACTTAGAGAAATAGTTTTCTCCAGGGATGTTCTACCTGTTGATAAGTTAACTAATACCATGTGGCCATTCATAAAAGCACATGATCTCAAGACTACCACTGCATGCGCATGTGCACACACACACAAACACACACGTATGTATGTCTCTCTATATGTATATATATATATAGATAGATAGATAGATAGATAGATAGATAGGTATATATGTGTATATGCATATACATGTGTGTACATAATAATGATGAAGAAGACAAGGAATTGAGATAGAGGGAAGTGGGAGGACATGGGAGGAGTTAGAGGTGATGCAAATACAATACTCGTCTGAACACCTGAAAATGCAAAATGTATATAAAAAGTTAAATTAACTATAATGGTTAAATGTATTTTGTAAACTTTAAAGATGACAATCTGGAAAGGAGTCAATTTATTTGAGTTAACAACCGAATCTCTAGTTATCTATTTGGAGTTCTTACAAAAGGAAAGCAAGCAAATCTGGGTGTTTACATACACTATGTAGCATGATCCTCTGAATGGCAGCAGGCAGTTGAGCAGGAAGGTGAAAGCTCACATCTTCACCTGCAAATATGAAGTTGAGAGAGAAAACCAGAAGCAGGGAAGGCTATGGACTCTCAAAACCCACCCCCAGTGACATACTTCCTCCAGCAAGGCAAAATATCCGATGATTCAATGACCTTTCCAAACAGTGCCACCAACGGGATCATCTTGTCAAATAATTGAGCCATATGGGACATTTCTCATTTAAACCACCACATTCCACTCCCTGGCCCCAAAAAGTCAGTGCCATCCTTTAACTCAAAATGATTTTAGTGCAACTTTAAAACTTCCCGTTATCTTTATCAGGCTCAGAGCTCTTAATTAGCCCAAAGGTTAAAGTCTCTTTTGAGACTCAAGGCAAAACATTTATTATAATCCCTTGTAAAATCAAAAAGCAAACTACATACTTAAACCACACGAAGGCACAGAATACAAATTTCCATTTCAAAAGGGAGGAATGGGGGCATATGAACATATGTTGGAAGGAAGTAAGACCAAAACTCATAGGGACAAATGCAAAAATCCCGAAGCTCCATGTCCCTTCCATGTTTGAACCTTTAGGTTTTCTTCTTTAATATTTTAGTTACTTTTTAAAATTTTTATTTGTATGAGTTTATTGCTTGTATATATGTAAGTGCACTTGTGTAGCTTAGTGCCCACAGAGGTCAGAAGAGAGCATCAGGTTCTATCAGTTGTTAGCCGCCATGTGAACTCAGGTCCTCTGTAAGAGCATCTAATGCTCTTAACCACTGAGCCATGCTTCTAGTCCCTGAGACTTTAGTTTTGATGGCTCTGTCCCTCTAGAACTTACAGCTCTCTCTTGCACTGACTCTTTTCTCTGTATACAAATCTCTTGGGAGATGTTTCACGACTCTGGCATTTCCAACATCTTGGTGTGTCTTGTTAGCCGCCATGTGAACTCAGGTCCTCTGTAAGAGCATCTAATGCTCTTTAACCACTGAGCCATGCTTCTAGTCCTTGAGACTTTAGTTTTGATGGCTCTGTCCCTCCAGAACTTACAGCTCTCTCTTGCGATCAATCATCTCCTCCTCTGTTGTCACCTCTTTGTTACAGACCCACCAACCCCGTGCGTTAGTCCACTGGATTTTCATGCCCAAAGGTCTCCCTGTCTCCACCCTGACAACCCAGCGCCTTCACAATGAAGGTCCATGTTCCCTGATAGCAGCAGGCAAACCTTGAATTTAGGACTCTGAACTCCTGCCCGCCTCCAAGTCTTCGCCAAATGCTGTCCATCTGCCTCTGAGATTCCGAAGTATCGCATCCCAGTACACATGTTAAAAAACAGAACCCCAGCACAAGCAACCCCCTACCGCAGACCCTTAACTGTGCTCTAGAATTCTGGTGGCGACAGATGGACCTGGACTCACCTGAGCCGGTGCTTTCGCCACAGCCAACTCCATGGAACTTATAGGCAGAGCTGGGCCTGGCGCAGTCACACCGGAAGTAGCAGGTACCAGCCCTGCCTCTGTGCCACCAGACAAACCCTTCTCCTCTGGCACCCGGCTGCCCTGGCCCACGGAGCACAAAACCAGCTCTCTGAAGACCTGAACTCCCATTCAAAAACTTAAGAAAAGAAATCACAGCCACGAAACGCTTAAAGTCCTCCCAGTATTAGTTGTTGGTAGGGAAACATCCTGTTTCATTGGCTGAAATTTCTTGCTCCTCTACGCGGTGTCTTCTGGGTAATGTAGTTCCAACAGCATCAAACGTGGGCCAAGTGGACGCAGGTGCAGGATTGAGACAAGTCTCCACAATTTCATGGGACTCATGCGGAGACTGTCGTGATTTCAGATGCTCCGTGTTTCTGTTTCCCTAAGCAGTTGCTGCTCCAGGTGTACAATCTCCTGAAGATGATTTCCTTGGGCTGAATCAAGCATTCATCTCCAAATTTCCCTTAGCTCAATAGAAAACTCAGCGGTGGTAGCACAGTATCTGATGTGTAAAAATGAGGAAAGAGGGACTGGAGAGATGGCTCAGTGGTTAAGAACACTGACTGTTCTTGCAGAAGACCCAGGTTCGAATCCCACCATTCTCATGGCAGCTAACAACTGTCCGTAACTCCAGTTCCAGGGGATCCCACAGCCTCCTCTTTCCTCTGAGGGCATTGCATGACATGGGTTCACTTACCTACATTCAGGTAATACATGCATACACATAAAAATACTAAATAAAATATAAAAAAGAATAAAATGTCTGTGTAACTGCAGGTAAATTTCTCTGTGTGTATATGTGTGTTATGCTGTGTATGTTTGGTATATGCATCTGAGCAGGAAATCCAGTGCCTTCCTTGACTGTTCTCCTGTCCCAAAGGGAGGGAAGAGCCATTAGCTCCTGGGTGTTTTAAGTGTCCCTGGTAAGGATTAAACTGGATTTTGGTAATTTGCAAAGGAAGGGAGAGATGCCAGGGGGAGGTGGAAGTCCTTGGAAAGGAGAAGTGGCAGGACTTTCTAATGATGGCAGGGTGTTGCAAGCAGCCTATCTGGGTTTCTGGACTATGTGGAGCAACTGGATTCTCCTTGATGGAGGGGAGACTGGGGTCTCTACTTAAGTGTATTTTTATTCATAATAAAAACAATTCTTTAAAAAGGAACATTATATAAAAGAAAAATGAAATTTCACCAAGTTCAACATTTTCAGCAATAAGGACATGTTTAGAAACTAAAAAGCATGTTTATATAATTATTTTATTTTTTGTTATGTCTGTGGGAACATATGTGCACTATGTATGAGTGCCAGTAGAGGTGAGAAGAAACATAGAAACCCTTGGAGATGTAGTTAGAGGTATTCCCGAGTGACCTGACATGGGTACTGGTCCTCATAATAGAGCAACAAGTATTTTATAGTGGAGTCATTAAATGAGAAAGAAGCAGTGACTTCAAATGATAAATGAAGAATTTAGGTACTTTGGGGGTTAGAGAAGTGGCTCAACGGTTAAGCACTGGCTGCTCTTGCAGAGTTCCTGGGTTCAATTCCCAGTTCCCACACGGCAGCTAACTATCCATAACTCCAGTTCCAGGGAATTTGACACCCTCTTCTGATGTCTATGGGCACTGCATGACACAGATGCACTTACACACATGCAGGCAATACACTCATACACATAAAATAGAAATATTAAATAAAACATTTTAAAATAATTAAGCCATTTTATAAATTCAAAACCGAGCAATACAGAAAACAGACATCTCCCATTTCATTTTAAACTATGCAACAGTCTCCCAATTGCTGTTAACCTATTTTCAAAATAGATGATAAATTCTAGAAAGTCTTTATGAATTATGGGGGATTATAACAATAAATCATTACAGACAAAGTTTGATCAAAACAAGCTTTATATTTTCATTAACCATTTTCTACATAGAGATGACTTATTTCTTGCCTGTGTCTTCTTGACCTGCGGTCTCTGTTACATTCACTTCCCAAACCTTGTTCTGTCAGCTGGAAAATCCTCAAAATATTTCAAATCCTTTAGGATTTAGAAACAAAAAAAAGCAGTTATTTCCTAACTAAGCCAGTAATCTCCCCACTGCACAGGAGCAAAAGGCATCCACTTTCCCAACAACAAAACCAACCAAACAACACGTAACATGCCAAAAAAACCTTAAACAAAATGTAGTCAAAAAACACAGATGAATTTTTACCTCATTTCATTTTAGTGACATAAATCCAATAAAATGAAGTAACAGAATACATATTGAAAGGTGGGTAGACATGAATTCAAGAGACTAGATTTTTATAGAATATTTATTTAACTGTCTGCATGAAAATATGTGAATTTTTAGTCTCTTGAGAACTTCAGAAACCTGTGCAAGCGGTATATATGCATTCTAAAAGGCAGTGATTTATTGAAAAAGCAAAATAGCACATAGTAGGAGAAAAATTTATAACAAAGTACTTGTGCCTGGAAAGCTGTTTGGATTTAACATTCAATGTGGAAATACTGACTTCTAATAAACATTGACAATGGATATTAAAGTTAAATATTTTTGTCTAGTAGAGGAAAAAGACAGATGTAAAGACAACAATGAATTAAAATTTCATTTCAAGCGGCAATTTAGAACTGTCATTTCTGATTTCACACCTGCAATTGAGTATTATGTCACTAATGAGAAAACCATAAACTACATTGTAGAAAATGTTCATTATAAAAATGAAAAAGAAATAAATTATTAAATTACTGTTTTATTAATATTTAAAAGCTAAAAGTTTTAAAGAAAAAATAATGCAAATCAGGGACCAAAATATATTACAAAAAATGACCAAGAATAAATATTTTAAAATATTTCATACTATGGTAAAAGATATAAACAAGTAGCCACAAAATATATATTCAAATCAAGAGAGACTCTTGAAGCTTTCATTAAAAGCACCAAATCAATTTTTATTCCAAACAAATTTTTTGGTTAGGGTTTTTGTCAGGGCAACCTTAACATCTTTGTTCCTTAAGCTGTAGATTAAAGGATTCAGCATTGGAACTACAATTGTATAAAATGTGGAAAATAATTTCCCTTCATTCAGAGATGCAGCTGAGGAAGGTTTCAGATATGTAAATGCACCTGATCCAAAAAACACAGAAATGGCAATTATGTGGGAACCACATGTGCCGAAGGCTTTAGACCGTCCCTCAGTGGTCCTTATTTGAAGGATTGTGGATAAGATGAAACCATAAGAGGTAAAGATGACCGCAGTATGAACAATGATGTCCTTCCCTCCGACAATGAAAATTTCTAACTTATTGGCAAAAGTGCTGGTGCAGGAGAGCTGGAGCAATGGGAGGATGTCACAGAAATAGTGATTGATGGTGTTTCCATCACAGAAGGTCAGTCTCAGTATGCATCCGGTATGAATCATGGCACCTGAAAACCCCATGAAGTATGAACCAAGCATAAGATAGGAACATACCCTAGGAGACATGGCAATTTTATACAAGAGTGGATTGCAGATGGCCACATAGCGATCGTAGGCCATTGCTGTCAGCATATAGCATTCAGAAATGATTAAAAAACAGAAGAAGTAGACCTGAGTCATGCATCCTGTATAAGAGATGATATTCTTCTGTAGCATGAAGTTCATTAGCATTTTGGGTATAATCACAGAAGAGAAACAGTTGTCTATGCAGGACAAATTAAAGAGGAAAAAGTACATGGGGGTGTGCAGGTGAGAATTCAGCACAATTAGAATGATTAAAGTTAGATTTCCCATTGTGGTTATCATATACATTAATAGAAAGAGCAAGAACAGTGGTACTTGGAGGCCAGGCTGGTCTGTTAACCCCACCAGAATGAATTCTCTTATCAAAGAGTGATTGTACAAGGCCATTCTTTAAGAAATCTGTGGACACAGGAAATAAGAGTGGCATTAGAGAACAAAGCAGCTCTTCCAAGAATAGCTTTTTCCCACAACTGTGAGGAATTTGCTGACAATATCTAAAAGACCACCTTGAATTTAGACAACCAACAATTCTGGTTACTATGCTATTGAGTAACAACATCATCTCTCTATTCTACCATCTTAAAGCTGAATACATTAAAGAACATCGTATCCACCTACTGAACTGAGACCAGTGTTGTTATAACCTAACATGACTGAGAGAAATTTCAGGTACAAGGAGGAAGGACCAGACAGAATTTCCCTTCTCTCACCCCATCATCTCTCTAATGCTTGAGACCCTTCCTCATTCAAAGGGAAACTGTAAAATCCTGGTGCTGACCCTCCATACAGGATGGACTGTGAATGAAGCTGGAATGATAAACAATGTTTCAAATCCCAAAACAAAACAAAACAAAATATATGTAAAATATGTAAAAATATGTAAAATACTAAAATCTAGGGATGTGTGTAGTGTGTGTGTGTGTGTGTGTGTGTGTGTGTGTGTGTGTGTGTGATTTTTCATAGAGAAAGTACTTGGTGATGCAAGCAATGCAATCCCTTCTTGCACTGATGCCTACACACTCTCCACTGCTGTATGTAGGATCTCTTGCTGGTAATTCCACTTTAATTCATCTTAGAGTTACACAAAATGAAAAGACAACACATATTAGAATTCTGTTTTTCATCTCAACATCAGGCAATTACATATGCATAATGATCCAGACATTGCATCACAATGATCTTACCAATATGAGCAATAACAATATACACATATGAAGAGATTTGGACATTATTTGATAAAACCTCAAAGTGAAAACCATCAGACAATACTAGCAAAATATTAAAAACCTCAATTATGAGTTACAATTAAGTTCTGGTGGTAAAATGTTCATCATGTTAACAACAGTTAACAGCATCATATGGTATACCTGTATTTGCTAACAGTCTACATCTTAAAATTATATCTTCACTATTTGTATACATGCCTATTTAATCACATAAAGTATATGTGAATTAGCTTCATTGTTGGGTTATTTGATAATGAATATATTAGCCTTAATAAGTTGTATACTTCAAATACTCTATTTTGTATTAGCAATATCAAGATATGTGTTAAATAAAAGCCAAGACCTTACTTAAACTTATTTCAGACTTACCCTACTTAGGACAGAAAATGTGGATGCTTCCTTGTGACTGTTATTTGTTATCCTGTAATGACAACAGCAGCTTAGGAGGTTATTTTTCCTTTGAGTCTAAGAGGGTTCATCACAAAATTCATTTCTCTTTTTCCCTGAAAATATTTCTGCACCACTGTATATAATTTATGTGGTTGTCCCTAGTCTCCTGGAGCAAAGGAAGAAATAAATAGACCTTATCATCACATTGCCACTTGATGAGGCAGCCGAATACTTTACAAGAGTTTAACCTCAGTATATATGTGGCTATGAGCAATGTTGATTCTTTCTTATTACCTTAGCTGAGAAAATTGTGAGACATTAAAAGGAAATGAGGCAACTGTATTGAAACACTTGGCTGTGATTTGTCCTTAATTCCATAAAGACTAAATTTTGCTCAGGAATGCTCTTCTCTTTGGGGATGCTACTGTCTCTACACTTGAGCCAAGAGTGAACTCCCATCCCCTGTTCACTTTTATCTCTTTAGGGAAATACACTGTTTTGTTTTTCTTTATTTGTACATTTTTTAACAACAATGTTCAATGGAGTCTGCTTTCAGACTCCTTTATTGGTTTACCTGAAATATTTAGATAAATACAGTAATGTGCTTCAGGTGTTATCCAGAGTTCTTAAAAGAATCACTTTGTTTTTTATAATAATGGGAAAAGGAAACCATGACATCACTCTTCAATTACTGATGCTAGCTTTTTGTTTGTTTGTTTGTTTGTTTTATTTTTTATTTTTTGGTTTTATGTTTTAGGGATGGATTACACAGCTTCATTTTTGCTAGACAAGGGCTCTACCACTAATCTACAAACACCGAGCTCCACAACCACTTTTAATGTATGGCATGCCATGTAAAGTTTTCAGTATTTAGTAGAAATTTCTGCTTGAATATCCTGCTTATGGTTAAATATAATAATGATAAGGTCAACAATTTGTATTTGGAGAAAAGACAATATCTATATAATTAGAGTATGTGTTTGTATCCTGTGTATCCTCACTCTAATACTATGATAATTTAGACAAGTTAATATCTCTGTGCTTCAAGTTATTCTTCATGAAACAGGGGTGATTACAGAAATATCTCTTTCATTGAATTGTTGAAATCAAATGTAACTAATCAAAAAGGAGAATAAGAAAAATAACTAAATTGTCCTCCATACTGGGAAATACTGAAAGAGCTCAATCAAGGAAGCTGAGAACAGAATATAATTGAGTGGAATGCATCATAAGAAAGGAAATGATTGATCCTAGCACTCATATTACAACCTACCATGATCCATAACTCCAATTGGCTTACATATAAGTAGACACTACATGCATATACATAAAATAAAAATAATAAATGAAAAAGAGAGAAAATGATTGTAAAAACATGCTTCTTAGCAATATTTTGTTTGAGAAAAAGAATTTCTCACAAAATCAGTTTTAAAATTATTGCTCTCATTGGCAGAAATGATGACTTTGATTATAATAAAAATGAAATCAATAATCCTATTTGTAAGTAGATGGGAAAGTGTGGAAAATGAGAATGCAGAAATGAAAGGCAGCAAACAGAAGCTGTAATATATAAAAGGGAAAGAACTATGTGAAGCCTCAAATATCTAAAATAGTGGGCAGTCGTGGTGTTTAAGGCAAATTGGGAAGAGCTATAATAGTAAATTTCAAGAATGTAAAAACCCAGCTGCTCCTGAGGAATGTAGGCTCACTGCTGCTAAAACTCTTACTACTTCCAGATGAAATGAATATCTATATTTAGATGTGAAGTGTCTGATTTTCATCTTTTGTCACTTACTTGGAAAAATGTAACCATGAAGTTAACAAAGTAAACCCAAATTTGATTTATTGACATATTTAGTATTTGGAAATAAAATAAATGAATGGGGGTTAGGCTAACTTCTCGGTGAGAGCACTCACTGCTTTTTGAGAGGACTGGAGTTTGGTTCTACTTTTTCATACAGGTGAAACTCATTTAAAATTAAACAGTATGCTGATATTAGAAAGACTGATTGAGGAGCAAGTGGTCACTTCAATCCATAAACCAATAACTTAGCCCATTTGTATATTCAACGCCAAGGAATTGAGACCTTATATCACTCAAGTTTAATTTCACGGTACCTAAATGTTCCCCTAAATTCTGTTAATTTCTCTTCACCCTAGAAGTTGATTATGGGAGAACTTTAAGAACTATGGGAGAGGGGATCATAGCAACTAAAACAATACAGCCACATAGAATCAAATAAAATAGTGTTTAAATTTTCATTAATCATTCTCCACTCAGAGATATCTTACTTCTTGCCCATGTGTCTTTATAACTAGTGGTCTGTTAGATCCAGTCTCCATAAAACACTCTCAATCTCTCAAAGAAAAATATCTCAAATAAAAGATCCTGAAAGTATTTCAACTGTTTTTAGAATTAAAAAAATAAAATAACAGTGTGTTCCTAATGCAAGCCAATCATGGCCTAACTACACAGGCACGATGGCATCCTCTTTCCCAAGAATCACAATGTACCAAACAAGCAACAGGTGGTATACCAAAAATCAGAGCTGGAGAAATAATTCAGCAGTTAAGAGCACTGTCTGCTCTTACAGAGGACTTGGGTTTGATACCCTGCACCCATAGGTGGCTAATAATCATCAGTAACTCTAGTTCAAGGGGATCCAACACCCTCCTCTGGCCTCTCTGGGAATTACATGACCCAGGTACACTTACACACATGCAGGTAATACACACATACACCTAAAATAAAAATAATAAAATATTTTAAAACACAATCCTTTATAAGAGCAAGGTACAGTCAATCAAAAAAGAAATGTTCCAATGCATTTCATTTTAATGAAATTTTTAAAAAGTTTTTTTTAATTTTTAAAAAGTTAAATGAAGTAAGTAAAAAAAAAATGTTTTCAAAGGATGGTAAGCCTGAACTTGGAAGTTATCTTTCTTTCTATAATTTTTAAATATCTATGTGAAAATATGTAAATTACTGATCTCTCTGAACTTCAGAAAAATAAGCATATAAAATATATATTTGCATTCTTCAACACATTTTTTTAAGTAAGATAAATTCAAATTATCTGAGAAAATAACATTTTTTTTTAAAAGTTCGTGCCTGGGAAGTAGGCTGTATTTGCAATAATCAGTAACATTGTAAAGACAAAGTTTTGACCAGTGGCAGAGAATGAAAAAGAGTCCAGACATGAGATTTAATTCATAGCTTGTCTTGAGCAATTAAACAAAATTTCAAATGGCATGATGACTACTGAGTAGTATTTAATCAATT